GTTGTTTACGTAATTTGTGTTTAGTGTGTACTATTATTGTAAAGTATGGAAGTGGTATTGAATGACGCAGGACATGATTCACGTGTAGCGGAAACTTTCGCTAGGTATTTTGAGAAAGAAGATTACCTCGACGTAATCTTTGTGTGCAAAGGTGGAAGACAAATTAGGGCACATAAACTTATATTGTCATCTGTTAGCCCTTTCCTGAAACAAATATTTTCAGAGTGGAAAGGTAACGAGGATATGGTAACAATTTTTGTTCCTGATGTAGATCATAATATCCTTAAACTTTTACTTGATTTTATATATGAAGGAACAACGAGGCTATCACAAACAGAACTTGATGGGTTTAAAACTGTGAAAAGAATGTTGAAAATCAGATTATGTGGTGCAGTTGTACAACAGTATCAAGTTCAACAATTGCCTCGGAGTCAACCACCACCCTTACTTGAACTGCGTAATAAAATTCATTCTGGAACCCAAATGAAGCCAGTCTCACAGAATATAGAGCAGAGGCAGGAAACTGAAACTGCAGCAATTGGTAATGGCAGTTCTGTTCCAAAAATCAACACCATACAGCCTTCCAATCCAGTGGATGAACCTCTGACACCGGTTAGAAGGTCAAGAAATCGGGATGATCCTCTGAATCTACCTGATTATCATTTTGAGCCTACAACATCTAGAAGTGAGTAATCAGTAGTTTAAATCAGATTTGCTTTATTGCTTTCTGCTGCTTTACAATTAATATTTGATGCATTTATATGCAGTTTTCAGATAATTCCTTTAAGAAATTGAAGTATTATAGATAGTAATATTTGTTGTAATGCATGTCTTTATTTTTTAATTTTTATGATGGAAAATCAATAGGAATGATGTGCTGATTGTATTGATTATTATTTTAGGATCAACATTTCAGACAGACAGAGCTAACATTAATGATAATGGAGGTATTGTTTCATCTGAAGGTGAACGACACAGTGAGTATTAACTGGAGCCAGACGTTAATTCAAGAAGATTCTGAAGATGGCTGTTTCTGGGTTGTTGGTAGATGTCTACCAGAACATACAGTGCTACAATCCAGAAGGCAGCCATCTTCAGACTCACTGCCATGAAAACCTCAAATCCTATTAAGAAGATACAGTTGCATATTAAAAGTATGTTTTTCTGATTATATTGTTTCTGATTTTGACAATATGCAACATATGATGAGTATGTGTATACATAGTTCCTTGTCATATGTGGTGTCTAAAAGATTCATGTGGATCCATGCAAAGTGCATCCTTATGATTATATTTGAAATATTGCACTGCAGACCTTCCAAATATCCATACCTGACTGGCTTGAAAATGAATCCATTTTGCTTGCTACTTTTCCATACATGTGAGTGGGTATGAATAAAAGGAGGGATTTAGTACAGTGGAGAATAAATTTTATTTTGCTAGCCATCTGTTTTGACTGATAGAAGAACACCCGATATCATGTACAGGTTCACTTCTTGTATCAAAGAATGGGCACAAGATATTGAACATCACATTAATGTAACAATGAAAGTACAGGCTTTTATCAGTGTTGACAGAATTTTAGCATAGATTTGAGGTTCTCACATTGATGAAAATATTGATGTTGGTTTTATGAGTTGTAACATAGTGTGGACTTTAGGCAGGAACCAGTATTTCAGACAAGCATGTTACCTCCATCTCCAGAGTTGAAGTGACCAAAAAATGGAGGCATTATGTTCTGCGAGTCGTTGGTATCTATGTACAAGTCCACACAGCATCGCTATCCAAAAGCACAACTTTGGCCTGTCAGCTTACATTTGCCTTATTTAGTATATTTGTCAATATGTACATAAACATAATTATACATGCACACAAAAAATAATTATAAACTTATTAGGAACATGATAAAAGCGTAGTCATGTCTTACCTCAGGAATATTACATTAGACTTTGCTACAGGTAGATCTGGTTGGCTGACATGTGGGCAGTCAGATACAATGAACGGTTCTGGGCACTGTCAGAGATGATCGTATCACAGTAGAGAATTTCATTGCCCTGGAAGCGATAATATGAGCAGTCTAAACACCACACAGCACCAGTCACAGAAATTTTCACAATTTATATTTAACATGTAAGAAGTTGTTACAATATAGATGGCTATTAATTTATGGGCCTCAGTGGTACAAAACAATGTTTCGATGTATGGTCAGTCATTCTCAGTTGTGGTTTTAACCAAGAGACTCCAGTGTGGAAAACTCTAAATATTGATGGAAAATGACAATGACACTTACTCAGAGGATGGAGGAAAGGACATGCTGTAAAAACCACAACTGAGAGTTACTGTGCCATACATTATTCTTATTCATTTCGAACAAGATTAAAATTAGTTGCAGTAACAATTGCAAACATGTGACTCTTGACTGTGGCTCAAGAACTGGCTAACAGAAATTTTGTTTTGACTGCCCACACATGGCTTTTTACATTTTACATTTTGTCAGCGAATTTATTAATTTTCAGGATATCCTGACACTGCTTCAAGTTCTAGCCCAATGAGTCAACAAGAAACAGGGACTGTCAACAATGATCAAGGTGCACATAGCATTATTTTGAAACAACAGAGTGGATCTAGTGTTCGTAAAAGACCTTGTACTCGGACAGCTTCTGATGCTGAACATTTTGTTCATGTATCCAGTGTTGTGAATTTAGAACAGACAAAGGACAAACATATTGGAAACAAGAGTAAAGGAGTGGGTCTTACTGGCCACAGTGCAAATACTATAATTGACACTGAAACTACCGAGTTTCGAAAAACTAAATCTAGGAAAACAAAACTATGATAATGATCCCAATCTACTGTAGCTGATAAGCCTGTGTAAAAAAGATGAACCTCTAATAACCAAAGTAACACACTGTGGTGTTCGGGCAAAGTTAAGCATTCCTATTGACTCCCCCGTCTAGTGCAGAGGTCAAGAATGAGGAGCTATACCTCTTCTCCCCCCCAAGTGGCCTACATGGTGTGTAGCAGGACTGCTTTACTTTATTCTGTATTGCTCCTGGTTTCCCATTTCATTCAGGGTGGGCCTGGAAGTTTTAAGATTGTCGGGGTTTTAAAAAATCACTACATGTAGTACAATTGAGGTAGGAATACCAATCTTGTTTTATTGTATTATAAATGCTCAATATGTGTGCCTTCTGTCAATCTGCAGACATCTACACGATAGTCCATTTCTTCCCATACGCCCCAGCGTGTCAGCAGTGATTTTTAGAATGGCGGCTCTGATACGTATCTTCAGATCCAGGATAGTCACAGTTAGAGGGAAGACAAATACTTGATCCTTCCCAAATTTCGTGTGGAGGTGCCGTTGGACAATGGTAACGGACCGACTTTGATGATATTTGAGAGTACAAAAAGCCTTCTTCTTACCGATAGACGCCATATTGCAAAATCTGGCACCTGGCGGCCAATCGCGTAACTACTGGATGGCGGGCGGTACAGAACAAAACTTTGAGAGTTTCTCTATCCACCAGTGTAATGATAATAGTCATATGTTTAATGCATTGCCCCACAAAATTCACAAAACCCCGACAATCTTTTTGAATGTCATGAAGGGCATTTTATTGTAGTGGGCTTGTGGAATTGCATGTGTTGGCTGCAGTGGTTACCTGGGCATGCCGGTTACATTGCAAATAATGTTCGGTGTTCAGCGAGTGTGGCTGTAGCTTTGTCTGACTGTTCTTTCCTCCATTTTGTGGATGGTGTGGTTTCCAGTGGATTAATATTGAATTTTATTTTTCTCTGATTATATATAAATTCTATTTCCCTTAATATTTGGTTTTGTGTCTTACCTCATGGCTCCAGCTGTCAGTTGGGTCTACAATCTGTGTAAGGATGGCCTGGTGAAGCTGTGTTTGCTCTTTGAGAGTCTTGGTTTCAGAGGCACTACACCTGATAACAGCATTATTGTCATGACTCTCACTTGGGGGCCCATTTGGGGTCTATGAAGATGTATTTTAAGATCTGCAAGGCCTGGTATGAAAAAGGAAGTGAGTAATTATGTCCATCAATGCCTGAAATTAATGCTTCTCATACTGAACTAATCATCCAAATTAAGAAGATTCTGAACAAAATAATTCTGTTGATTTGAACCAATTGTAGTTGGCATTAACAGCTTCTGTAAGTGTGAGATGTTTTAATTATGCATAAATCAGCGATCATCAGGCTTGATAGTGTTTTTACTGTTACTATAACATTTCAGGATCATTACTTTTTCATCGGTACTAATAATAATGCAAACATATTTGCATCAATTTTTCTCAGGAACTTATCCAATAAAATTTTCATTTCTTATATTCATTACAGTAGGGCCCCGCTTTTCGGCGATCCGCTAATACGGCGCTTTTCAATTGCGTGCATATGCCCCACGCGCTCAACAGCTGAGTCAAATAAGTGCGTCCGGCACCATTTTCATGTCGCTGATTCAGTCTGTTTACAGCTGCTACTGATATTCATTTTACTTTCATATCATTTTCTTAGGCCTAGCGCTACTGTGCACTTACTATAACCTGCCGTATATGTGGTGCCCTACTGTATGCATATAATAGCTGTTAAGAAAAATGTGAACTACTGTCATCACCAGTAGAATGTAATAAACTGATTTCTTTGATCATGTTTCATTATTCTACTCACTGTTCCTCTCATGAAGAATGGAATATCTTTCTCTATACTGTGGAAGTACTGGGTTGTTTATAAAACCTACTTTGCTCGAGTCAGAGTATTATGATGTTTATATTCTGGAACAGTGAAGGTTTGTTGCCATTTTACTACTGGCATTACATACAGTCACTTCATGTTTTGCATGACCCAAAGAAAATATGAGAAGTGACACCATATCAAGTCTTGTCAAGTTTGAGTCACTATTTGATGGTGGGATCTTGTAATCTTGGAAAATGTACTTATTCAGCATACACTCTCAAATCAATCAGTCACTTGTGGAAGCAGATGAGTCCACAAAGCTCTCCTCAAGAAAACTAAAAACATCTAGAAAAGACACTTTCTTTTACACTTGATTTCTTTTTTCAAAAGAATGACTGGCAAGTGTATAATCTTTTGACAGGCACAGTTGATTAAAATCTTGCACATCCAGAGTTACATGCTGAAGTTATTTTTGGCCTCATGTTTAATATGCACATCATATTGAAGGAACACTATGATTCATATGGTTGTGTCTTTTCTCACTGTGGTTTTCAGTGGTTTCTTTATGGCCAAAATCTAAACCAAAATAACGAGTTCAGGACTCGTCATAACTCCATTCTCCCAAAAAACAAACTTGTGTGGTTCTACAAAGACCAATTCAATTACCCCCTCAGTAATATATTAAAATTTCAGATATTTTAAAACAATATACAGGCAACACATACAGAAAAATACAAGGAGAAAACAAATAATATTCTTTTAATTATTTTCTGAAACAAAATCACTATATAATGTAAATTAAAGTGCAATCTAAATATAATGTGTCAAACAGGTTAAACATTCCTGTTGTGGGAAAATTGTACCCGAAAATGTGGCACAAGTTGGGAATACCCTACTGATGTACCTTCACCCTTATGTTAAGAAAGTGCAACAGATGATCAACATCGCTGTAGACCTGTTAACGTATGAATGGTCAGGAGCATGTTTGTCCAAACCACATGCATTATATTCCTAATGGGCATATACCACATTACAAGCAGTAACATTTTTCATCTTTACTAGATACGACTTCCTAATTAACTTTTAAGTTCTGGGTGAGCAATTACAGTTAGCTTTGTTATTTAATGCCATGTATCAACTGCTAAGATACAATGAACAGATGTACAGAAGATAAGTAATATTTCAGAACAGCGTAAGAAGTTGAGAACAATATTTCTACATCTGCAGTTTTACTATCATAGATTACTGCAAAATAATACTTTGTAAATATAAATTTAGAAAACTTTTAAGCTCAAATGGATACAGAATTAAAAAAATTTCAGGATACATGAATATACCCACAATCACAGCCAATTTAACCACCACTATGCAAGTCATCTAGGATAGCACAAATTTGGGGGGCAGGCAAAAAACCAATAAAATTCAAAAGTATGGTTCACCACAAGATGTACTGAACTTTGTATGCAACCATAAGCTGACATAGTGTCCTCTGTACATTTATTGCCATCAGCATTCTCTTGACCCTCCATTTTCTGTCGCCGGTGATGAGTAAAGCCCTTCGAAGTTAAAGCTGATCAAACCAACATTCGTTCCTCAGTATTGCAAAAAAACAAAAACATGAAACTGCACAAAATACTGACCTAGAGGAACTTATTTCTCCATTTGCTAAAGTGAAAGAGCAGAAAATAAAATTTTAAATTTAATGTGTATTTCTTGTAATACATATTTTGTGTGAAGTGTAGAACAACATTAATGTAACTTCAGTATCATATTATGTAAACTAAATCTGAAACTATAAATGCAGAATTTTTATTCATAATAATGCACAATATTTATTTTTGGAAGTTAATGGGGGGGGGGGGTTTAAGGCTGAAGGTTTGTCTAGGATACCTAATACTCTTGCACCAGCACCACCTGCTGTGGTGTAATGAACCATATTATACTGAGCTAAATTCTGAAAGTTTGTGACGATGGTGCGTTGTTGAAGTAAACTGTTTTCTGGACATTATCCATCATCCAAGATTAAATAAAATTGTGGTTTTATTGATTTTATTTAATTTAATCTTGGACAATGGATAATGTCCAGAAAACAGTTTGCTTCAATATATTATATTGAGATTGCACTCTTATGAATATTTCAGGACTACAGACTGAATTTATAGACATACAAAACAACTCTTTTACTGAAAAAATAAGAACCAATAACATATAAACATTCAGTAAAATAACTTAATTATCCATGATGAAAGATGTTTGCAATTGTTGCTATTTTAGGTGTTATATATGGCTTATTTCTGGAACATTAATTATTTCTAATGAATTTGCAATCTAAACACAGTTGCTCAACCTATGAACATTTCTAAGTAGAACTGTATGATGCAAAAGTGTGTTAAGCTGAGATAATGATAAACATACTTATGTTACTTCTCTTAATTTGAATACTGGGTCAGGCAATTTATTGTGTGATCCACAAAGCACTATGAAGTTTATGCTACTTTCATGTGATGATATTGTGACAAAGTTAAACATAAACAATTCTGGAATGTTTTACCACAAACTACAAGGTTAAAATTATACTCATTTATATATGGCTGGGCTATGCTGGAATGATGCATTTATTGAAAATATTTATCATCACACATATTCTACTACAGTATCCTTGTATAAGGGATTGTACCACTTATTAATTTAATACTTGCAATTACTATTAAATGTTTCAGTATTAACCACAAGATTTTTACTATACAGAAGAAAAAGTCAGTATATGAAAATCTTGATATAAGATTTTACATGAATCATAACAGTTTATAGTATACAATGATTTGTGTAATACTTAGTCCAGCAGAGCAAATCTTATTTTCATAGAACAAGAAAATTAACTCCTCTTACAAAATTGTATTTCTATCACTGTCCTGAAGTCAAAGAGAAAGATTTACAAGTGCTTTTTGCCCTTTACTGAATTATATGTGCATGAATGAGGTAATGTGTAGTGTTTATTTGCTGCAAACTTCAGTCACTGCATAACTATATTATACATACATTTTTAGAGTTGCCAACAGTTCAATCTTTAAACTGCCACTACAACTGTACAGTATCTAGATAGATACAGCAACATAAAGCCAATCTGCATCCCTTGATGTGTGTCTGAACAACAGCCATATAAATATACTATCTCACAATGCTCACAATACTGTATTTGTGGTTAGTATCAGCAACCCTAAAAATTACCATCACACACATTACATGAAACTGTATCCTTAGCATTGAGAAAAGTCAAGTGATGCCTTTACCACAAACAATAATTATTACAAACAACTAACATACTAAGGTGCATTGTTGTACAAGTTGCTCCATTCACTGCCATTACCAAAACTTTCCTTTCCGTTTCTTGTATCGAATCTGAAGTTCAAAATCTAATCTGAAAATAATGAAATGTGTTAAGTCACACTAAAATCTCAAAGATTCAGTACTGCTGACACCAAAGTCCATCACTATACCAGCTATTCAAAACTGGTAGTAGTTATGCATTATTTACATGATGTTCATAAAATGAACGCAAACAGAGTTGGTCATGTCTGTCTGTCAGTCTCCTGTCTGCAAGATTCAATTCAAGAACTGCTGGATTTGGATGAAATTTGGTATGAATGTTATGCCACTGGAGACTAACCTAAAATCATATTTTTAAATTTTCTACACTTGGTAATACCAACATGGTGGGTGAACAAACTTGTGAGATGGATCAACATTAGCGCCACTTGCAACAGGGCCATGTAGTAATGTATGAATTTTCAGAAAATACAAAACTCTGGTAAAATAGTTCTTTGTATAATGTAAAACAACGTGGAAGATGGATGAAAGAAAAAGAAATTTGACTTGACCAAGATTTGATCCTATGACCCTATACATACAAGTCCAGTATGCTACCAGAGCTAAAGTACCATGTGACATCATTATTGATTCATGGTACATAAAGAAGACCATGTGACATATCACATGAAACTAAAGTAGTCTAAGTAAGATAGTACAGTGACATAATCATTTATTAATAATTCAGAATTTGCAAAAAACCTTTCCAGTCTTGTTACTTTATATATTCTTAAACTTTAATGTTTTGGAAAGTAGCTGAGATGACAGTTTTTAACTCTCTGCATGTGTGTGTATAAAACAACTCAAGAATGGATACACTGACTTTTATGAAATCTGATATTGGAGAAATTTGCAAAAATTTGTCAAGCCATTTCAGTTTCTATTTGGATAGGACAACTTTAATGACCAATTTACATAAAAGCATGAAAACAGAAATACAACAGTATGTAACACAGCAAACAATTTTACTGTTGGTATCCCAGTAACCAATTCTGTAGTGTACACAATTAGAATTTCCTCACTTTTCCTAAATTATTAGATCTCCTTTTCAGCTGTTGATACAAGTGCCACTGTTGTAAGATTGTTGTAATAAAACGAAATCTGTAAAGAAAAATCTATTTCTTGGAACTCTCTACTTTCATCTCAGAGATCAGATTTTGGAAGATACTAGCAGGTATTAAGTTATGATGTGAGGGTCAAAGGTCAAATTATGGAGCACACACCAGAAGTATAAAGCTATGCATATATTTCCTAACATGTTATTTAAAATTGTTGTTTGTAGAAACATATGTCCTGAAGCATTTTCATTCATGTTACATATAATATGATTTTACAGCAGACATACTAATTTCATTAAATTGGTTTTACATTTGAATTATATATTTTTCTATTTACATTAAGGAAGTGTTAAACATTTATTTATATGGGGGAATTAAAAATCTCTGCACCCCCATAAGATTGTGCTGATATTAAGTAGGGTCTTCCAAAAGTAAGGCTGATTTAATGGGCACAAGCCACGAGGCTTGCTGATTAATAAATATTAAACAAATATAAATTAATAAAAGGAAGTAACAAACAAGTCTATATGACATTACTATCAAAAGATCAACATAAAAAATTGTTAGAGGCATTTACTGTAAACAATATTTCTCCCTACAAAATTCCATGTTTTGCACAAATATTTTTTCAATTGATTCAGAACAGAGACATAGTTAACAGCCTTCAGGTTCCATAAAAGGCAAGGAAGTTTTTGATGAGCTGAGTATACTGCTAGCTTCTAAAGGATTCTACCCCACAAATATTTCTGTTCATTTAAAATAGTGGGTGCCTGGAATCTCAAAGTAAGACACTAGATTCTCAGTTAGAGGGTTCTGCATACTTTTCTTCTCACAGACTGAAACCTTCACCTATAATTAACTAACTCCATGGAGCAGACTCCATCTTCAGAAGCTAATAGTATGTTCAGTCAGTAAAGAAATTCCCTGCCTTTTATAAAACCCAAATGTTCATAAGAGCCAGTCACCAGTGCTTATCCTGAGTCAGATGACTCTAATCCACACCCTCCAAAACCTATGTTCTTAAGATCCAGCTTAATATTATTTTCCCATCCACATTTAGATCTTCTGAGTGGTCTATTCCCTCAGGCTTTCCAACTAAAAGTTTTTGGCATTTCTCATCTTTGAGCCCATATAATTCTCCTTCATTTCATCGTGCTTATAATAACTGGTTAAAGAGTATAAATTATGGAACTTCTCATTATACAATTTTCTCTAGCCTACTGTCACTTAATCCCTCTTCAGTCTAAATATTCTCCTAGCAACCCATCCCCAAACACTCTCAATGTATTAATCTCTTAACTTCAAAGGCCAGGTTGCACAACCATACAAAACAATAGGTAAAATTACACTTTTTATATTTTTAGACAAGCAATAATAAAATATCTGATCCACATGGTAGTAGGCATTCCCCACATTTAGTCTGTTATTAATTTCTTCATAAATGCAATTCTGATTTGTTACTGTTATTCCAAAACATCTGAACTTTGCCAATTTTCAAAGGACTTTATTATCCACCTTTATACAATGATTTTGTTTTGAAATCTGCTGATATGACATGAACACATACTCAGTTTTCTTCAAATTTATTTCTGGAACTTTCTTACCAGTATCTAATAGAGATTTTAACACTCCCTCACCTCAGAAATGGATTATAGACTTGCCCAGGGTTGGCAGAGGCCAGAAAATGTCATCACAGACCATCCCTAGGACATTAAAAGTCAAACACCAATGGCCAATCAACAATAAGAAATGCACAATCATTTTCAAAAAATTAAATGAGGGACTGAACAATGAAAGATTCTAACAAATTTTAAGATTTTACCCCAAGCCATATATTATTTCTATTAGTATTAGTCTGTTCAGAAAGTTTTACCTTCCTCAACATACACATTAGCAATACCAACAGATGACACGAACTGAAATAGTTTCCTAGTAATCATAGGCACTCTGGTACAGTAAAACATGTAGGCTAACCACATTTGTACTTTGGCCACCTGAATGAAGTGACCATATTTTAAGCATACATGTCCAACTTGTATCGTGGCTATCTTGGCTCTCACATTATGATTCCATTCATGATAAACTGTTCAAATGAATAGTTGCCAGATTACATGAGCTATACTTGCAGTACAGTGGAAAAGGGCAACAATGGTTTGAAATCATGATATGAACATTCAAAGATTTTGCAGTTCAGATGTGCAGGGAGTATGTTTTTGTTAAAGCTGATTGTGGTTTGAACAAGTTACAAAACAACTGGATGGAAACCTATTTCAGCAGTCAGGTATTGCAAAGGCCAGTGTCAAGAATCAGCAAATACTTTAATTATGCAGCCTAGAGTACTAATACAGATTGAGAGAGCTTTCTTTATCTGTTACAATTCCCCAAATAATTTTATATTATTGATCTAAGGTTTTCAAAGTTTGAGGCACAACATATACATAGTACTTTCTGTTTTGCAATTGCATTTGACATTGCACTGCCTCTAATACTAACATGATACATGGCATCCGCATATTTTGATTCTTCAACTGTAAGATCAATTATCTACTTAAAAATGATATGGCTATGCCATACAGGCAATTTTATTCATATCTAGGATCCTGCTAATAACAGCCCTATAAGTTACAACATGATGACAATGAAAGATTTTCCAGTGTGTGATTCTGAGGAAATAAATGTACTTCATATTCCAAGAAAAAATGGCAAGATATTCTTTGCTATGGAAAAATAAAATATTATGCCCTGTATCATAATTCTTGAATTGTTGTCTATCCACAAAATGTTTTTCTGAGTTATCTTAGATGCCTCAGTCCTAAAACTGAAAAAAGCATTGTGACTTCCTTATACAGCATTATAACAACATGTTAGGTGACAGAGAACCTAAGGAAAGTATGCCATATTATGAACAAATACCATAAAGGAGACTCCCACTGTTCATAACAAGAAATTATATAAGTTACTTTTTTGGCATTCTTGCATACATTGGTGACTTGCTTAAGTCAGCCACATTTTGGGATACAAGTGGCAAATTAGTCATTTTATTGGAATATGACTGTCTTCTAGGTCATAGTGCCAAGCAGTATATTAAGTATCTTTAAGTAAAACACATTTGAGTCTCAGATTCAAGAAATTCCTTTCTGGTTATGAATTGTGGTCTGTCACCATCATTATGGAAAATGTTACACCTTACAGACTATTATGAAATGTTAGCTAAAAAACAAGGCAGAGTGATGATCTAGTAGCAAATCTTCATTTCCCACTCTGTATCTCACTTACTCACAATGAGACATACAGTACGCGACTGTAATCTTGAGACTTGCAAGGAATGCAGGAAGTCCGAAGTGTTAAAGGTGGACGCTATCTTTCCTCCTTCACCCTGCAAGTCTCAAGATTACAGTCGCAGACTATACTCATATCATCATGTGCACATACATGCACTGATGCACACAAAATAACTAATCAAGTTCCATTTTTGCTTAGGTTTGTGACATATTTACCATTCATGATATAAAACTGAGACAGGTTAAGAGGAAATAGATGATAGAGATCTACAGAGAAATTAAAGCATGCAGTTACCTTATTTTAAAGGTTGCTAGAGCAATCCTTGTGTTAGTTGCCCTGCTCCATGCTCTGTCTGATCTGATCGTACCTTCATAGCAGCAGCAAAAACCCAAGTATTAGTACAGCACACTAAAGCCATTCCACCAGTGAAATATCAGTCATTCAACAAACATACACCTCATAATGATATTGTTTCACACTAAATATTTTATTTTAATTGAAATTAAATCATATAATTTCAAATACAGCTTCTAAGGTAAACTTAACAATTTTAATAACACATTTCAAGTACAAACTTTAGTTTGAAGATTTCTGTCTTCTGGGTTGTTGCGCTGTGTCAGGTCGATGTTTACCAACGTTTACTGTCTCCATCATCAGGGTGATGACGGAGGCAGTATGACCTCTGAAACGTTGGTAAACATCGACCAGACTACACAGCGCAACAACCCAGAAGACAGAAAGAAATCTTCATACTCACCGCTGTGAAAACCTCAAATCTTACAAACTCTAGTTTATTATCCTGATGCATTGTCACACCTAGCTGTAAGCTTCCTATCTCAATAAAAGAACTCTCTGAAGCAGTGCTGCCACCCAGTCATTGACTGAAGTCAGTAAAGAATCAATGCCAAAGATTTTTTGCATTTTATACTACTTTCACTATTAGCTGAATAGGTAATAATCTGATGGAGTGAGATAAGAATAAGACAGAGACTGCCATCCAAGTTCTCTGTCAGCTTTAATAATTTTGGACATAACGTAGAATGGCTGGGAGATTATGCTCCCAAAAATGAGTTCAGGGTCTCTTCTTCTAAGTGGTATACACAAGATGGTCACAGACAAAGGCAATGATGATAGAGTTTAGAACTCAAGAATGGCCCTCAAAATATTACACTGTGCACACATTAACAATGGTTTGCATATGGGAGGTCCATGTACTTCCTACTTCATACCCTGCTATTTAGCAAATAAATCTTTCTCAGTTGTACCTTAATGTAGATGCATTCTAAGACAGAACATGCTAATGATGATGTACAGAACACTTCAAGTTTGACTGGTACTGCAGTAAAAAGAAATATTTTAACTCTGGATCAGTAAGATCTTGGAAAAACTAGAGAAATTCATTAAACATGCAGAAGGATTATGCAGAAAAATACACTGTCTGTTCTTCTAAGGAAAATCATCATGATTGGTTCTACTGGGTACATAAAATAAAACAAGCAAATCAAAACACATGTTAAAAACTATCACAGATAATTAATGTGGTAAAATATCTGAACACAAAATTTTTCTATTTTTTTTAAATTCATGCAGGTGAATAAAAAAATACTTTCCTGAATACTGATGGAAATCAAATTCCACTGTTGATGCAACGTACACTTTTAACCAGAACATAAAAACATGAAAAATGGAACCAATTTAGCTGATAAACTGTATTGTTTTGTATATTTTAATCAACAAGTTCTTAGAATTCAGATGGCAAGACAAAATATTTTGAACTGAGAAGTAGCAAGCATTTTTGGAATTTAGTCTCCTCCTAACTTCCTCATGAGTACCATTTTTATTTGTTATTGTTGTTCCCAAATATTTGAACTTTGTAACACTTTCAAAGGATTTATTAGCCACCCTAAGATAATTCTGCCCGCCTGTCTGCTGACGACGAGATACTAACATGTACTTAATTTTTTCTGAATTTACTTCTAGCCCCACCTGTCTACTAGCCTCTAGTAAAACTTCTGTGTTCCTCTTTATTATATTTATATCGTCACCCAATAAATTAACATCAACATATGCCAATAGCTGATGTGTCCTATTCAATTGCAAACCCTCCTGTCTATCTTGGAATTTCCTGATGGCATATTCATTATACATATACAAGTTAAAAATGGTAAAAGCCTACACAAGCAAAGAGCAGACTTGTCAATTTATAATGTAAAAACACTAATCAAAAACATAATGGCTGGGGGTTCATCGTGCTGACCACACGTCACCCTATATCTGGTTGGATGATCGTTCACCTCTGCTTAGGCATATGAACGTGAGGCCAGCAGCCAGCTAGTCGGCTTTGGCTCTCAGAGGGCTGTTATGCCACGGATTATTATTATTATTCTGAGAACTTGGATTATGAAAGTAGATAACATAAATCTTCATAACTGCACCTACAAATGATACATCACTTACATCTTAACCCATGTTTATAAATTTTTTGGTACCATAGTTACAAAAAACATAATTTAAAATCATACATTAAATATATTACTGTAGTTTCATAGTTTCAAGACCTACAGG